AAAAAAAAAAAAAAAAAAAAAAAAAAAAAAAAAAAAAAAAAAAAAAAAAAAAAAAAAAACGAAAAAAAAAAAAAAAAGAAAAACAAAAAAAAAAAAAAAGAATGAAAAAAAAAAACAAAAAAAGGAAAACGAAAGGGGAATGAAGAAAAGGAAAAGAAAGGGAATAAAAAAAAGGAAAAGAAAAAAACAAAAAAGGAAGAAAAGAACAAGACAAGGGAAAAGACGAAAAGAAAAAATAGAAAAAACGAAAAAAAAAGAAAAGAACGAGATAAGGAGAAAGATAAAAAGAAACAAAATGAAAAGAAAAAAAAAAGAAGAAAAGAACAAGACAAGGAAAAAGAAAAAAATGACAAGACAAAAGAAAAGACAAACAAAAAGAAAAAAAGAAAGAAAAGAACAAAAAAAAAAAAGAACAAAGAAAGAAAAAAGAAAGGGGAATGAAAAAAGAAAAAAAAGCGAAAAAAAATAAATAAAAAAAAAACTGAAAAGAAAAAAAGAAATAAAGAAAAGAAAGTGAATAAAGAAAAAAAAAAAGAAACCCAAGAAAAAAGTGAAGAAAAAAAAAAGAAACAAGTTGAAAAGAGTGAAAAAAGGAAAAGAATTAAAAAGGCATGAGCGAAAAAAAATTAAAAAAAAGTGAAGAAATAAGGCGAAGAGTAGACGAAAGGGAAAAAAGAAAAAAATAAAAGGAAAGGAAAATGATAAAAACAAAAATGAAGAAAAAGAAAAAAAGCAGGAAAAGAAGATAAAAGATAAAGGTAAGAAAAAAATAAAGAAAAACAAAGAAAAATAAAAAAAAAAATAAATAAAAAAAGCAATGAAAATAATAAAAAAAGCAATGAAAATAAAAAAAAAAAGCAATGAAAACCAACATCAAACAAACACCTGCCAAAAAAAAAGCGAAAATAAAGGCGAAGAAAAAAAACGTCAAAAAAAAAAAGTATATACGTACAGTATGTATCTGATATGAAAGCCAAAAAAAATAAAAACAAAAAAAATACTGATTAACAATATTTATATATGATCATCAATCTTAAAATTGATTGGCCGATCATATAGGGGTCACCATGGCAATGGGTCGCCACCTATAATTTTCTATTTAATAATTATAAATTTATTAAAAAAATTATATTTATAATACTATATTATATAATTTTTAATATATAATATTATTTATTTTAATAATTATTATATAATAAAATATTATATAGATTTTTATAATTTAGCGCATATGCATTGTAATACACTCTATAAGATCCAGTATAATGTGAAATCAAAACAAACCAACAACGTATTAATTTAGAGTAAGGGTTAACACTAATATAGAGTTAGGTTAGATTGTAGGTAAATATTAGTTATACCCAAAATTTTGCAAGAATTTTTTTTTGTTAGAACACAAAAGGTGGTTTCATGAGTTATAAATGATTTTTTCAAAACATTGCTATTTTTTTTGATTTTACGTTATACCTGATCTTACAATCTGATTGGTCAATCAGGTGAGTGTGTTATAACGCAAATATGCTAAATTATAAAACCCTATTATATAATATAAATATTATAAATATTTTATTTATTAATTTTTTATTTAACTTTTTGCTATTTTTTCAAGCACATATCTACTCTAATTGTTGTAGGATTTAAATTACATCTTTGAGAAGTAATTAATTCTTTAGCAGCTGAAAATGCTTTTTCTACAGAAACACTTGTAGCTAAATATTAAAATTAAAAATTTAAAATATATTTATAAATTAATATTAATAAAATATAAAATATTATATCTTGAACTGATAAATAATCCTTTGCTATTTTAGCTAAATGTGGTATTTCAAATTCATGATTCTATATTTTAAATATTATTTTAAAAAATATTAATATTATTTATAAAATAAATTTAAAATTTATTATTTACCTTTTATTATAATAAATATTATTATATACAAATAGATCTATAGTTAGATTTTTTAAATATATATCCAATTCATCAGAATATATAGTTTTACATTTTTTAAAAATATTTGCAACTTTTTTTTGTTGAATATTTTCTAAAATAGAATTTAAGTTGGTTGATATTCAGATTTCCATAATTCTTTAATTCATTTTTTATAATTTTTAATATAATTATCAAATTTATTTTCTTCATAATATTTTAATTTAAGTCTAAGATCTAAACTAATAAATATAAAATTTATAAATAAAAAAATAAATTTATAACAAAAAATAAATAAATTAATATATAATATATACTTGTTTCAATAATATAAACTAAACCTTTAGCATCAAAATAGTATTTTTCTAATTTGGCTTGAGCTTTTTTAGCTGCATTTTTAATAATTGTATTAGAACAATTTTTGATATAATTATTTAAATTATTAAGTAAAAAACTATAAAATGGAATAACTAATCCAATAGTTAAATCTTTGCAACTACTAATATCATTAGTTGCTTATTCAAAATTCTAAATTATAAAAAAATTAATATAAATTTTAATATATAAAAATTTTAAAATATATATTTTTTAAAGAGTAAATTTATTCCTTACCTAGGTAAGATTTGATATTGCTTATCTCTCTATAACAAAATTTGAAAAAATACCAATATCTTAAAATTTTATTAAGATAATCTCTGTCATATAACATAAGCAAAAATGTTTCTTTCACAATTTTACCTTAGGCTAACCCTAATCCTAACCTTAATTTTAACTCTAATATATTAACATAACTAGTGTTCCCTTTTGTATTTAAGGAGAGTGAGTAACTCACCCAGGCGATGAATAAATTATTCCTTTTTTAAATACTTCTAATAAATCTTGCATTATTGTAATTTGATTCCATTCTTCTTTAGATAAAGAATATTTTTCTATTTCTTTATCAAGTTTTATTATTATATCAAGTAGTTAATAAAAAAAATAATTTATTAATAATAAATTTTTAATAAATTTAAAATTTTTACTTACTTTTTTAGTTTAAGTGCTCTTTTTAACTTATAATATGTTGAATTCTATCTTGTTTTAATATCAAGAAGTAATTCAAGATTATTAGAATTTATATTGATAAAAATTTTCTCTTTATTGTGATGATGAATAAATTATTGTAATAATTTTTCTAAGCTTTTAATAATAACTAAAAATCAGAATCTGATAGAAGTCTGAAGCAAAAAAATTAGCTATTTAATATTTTGAAGTTTTAACTACTTTGTTGTATTTCTTTTTAAACCTTTGCAATATGGTATGCTGGAAAGTAAAGTAAATTTTTGCTACTTACAATTTAACTTATATCTGAAATAACTACAATTTATCCTGTGTAAAGTTATTTTTGGCAAACTAAATACCATGCTGATGTATTTAATTTGTCATCGTATAATGCTAGAATAACAGACACTTGTATTAAAACCGAATTTACTTTAAAATTTTTATATATAACCTCAAGACTCTAAATTGAGTTACACTGACTACAGATCATTATGGGAACCATTAATTTTCAATTTTATTAGCTGTATCAAACAAACATTACATAGACCTGTGAGTCCTCGCTATGTTTTAGACAATTATATATTAATATAATAAATATAATTTTATATAATATTTTATAAATATTAAATTTATTTACTTACTTTTTTTACTGTAGATATAATATCTTCATTATCTTCAAAAATTTTATTTTCATCTGGTCCTTCAGTTTTAAGATTTTTTAAAAAATCTTGAGCTGTCAAATTAATAATATATGCTAAACATTATACTCTTTGATTATCTATATCAAAATTAATTTCATCATAAGCACAATGATTGGCAAAATATTAAAATATTGTATTGTTATTAGCTGCATTATCAATAGTAATTGCTAAAATCTATATTATAAAATAATAATTTATTAATAATTAAATATTTAAACTAT